TGCCTTTTACAAGTCGTGCGGCCTGGCTGGCCACTCAGCAAGAGTGTTCTAGCCTAAGACGTACTCATTCACATCTTATCCAAGGCACCAGACCCTCAAAGAAATTGGTTAAAATTAAAGACGTAAAACGCTACCTGGGAGATGTCACTGTGGCCAATGATGGGCTTCTTATAGTGAGCCTACCAGAGAACGTATTGTTGTCCTGAGGAGTGTCATTGATGGCCTGCTCACTGCAGTTCATCTTCGCTTCAATCACCCCTCCAAATGAACCGCTTGTTCAGCAGATATTTTTTGCCTTAGATCTGGACAGAGCCATTGAATCAGTATGTGCTTCATGCCATCATTGTCTATCCCTGAAATTTGTACCAACACAGCTGTGTCCTCAGTCAACATCAACACCACCAAACCACATAGGCAGATCATTTGCCGCAGGATATTATGCACACACAGCGCCAGTACACCTTTGTTCTTCGTGAAACAGTATCCTCCTTCACCCTAACGGCTATGATGGAAGAGCGAGAAGCATGATGACGTTCAAAATGTCATATTGGCTCTCTGTGCTGAGGTTAGATCTTTGGGTGATGAGGATATCTTCATCCGTATAGACTCTGGCCCGGGCTTGGTTGCCATAACCAATGACCCGAAACTTAAACGACTAGGTATACGTTTACAGGTTGGAAATGTTAAAAATATTAATAAGAATCCTGTGGCGAAGAATGCTATCAACGAACTTGGCCTTGAATGCCTCAACATAAATCCTGAGGGAGGTCCCTTATCCACTACTACCTTAGCAATGGCGACTGCTAATTTAAATACCAGAATAAGGAAAGGAGGCTTATCGGCACGTGAGATATGGACACAAAGAGACCAGTTCACTGGGGAGCAGTTACCTATAGATGATCGACAAATAATACAACAGCAACATTTCCAGCGCATAGTTAGCCATGGTCCTAGTTCAAAATCGAAAGCGCATGGTAAGTCACAATCTGCTGCAGGAGATATATGTCTTGGAGACCTTGTATATATCTTTACGGCGATAGGGATAAAACCAGAAATTGTTACTTGGTTGTTGGTCTGTCTGATGACCATTGTCAAATTAGAAAGTTCACAAAATCCCAGTTCTGTGCTAAAGTATATGATGTTAGACTTAATGATTGCTATCCAATTAAGCCTACTGTGCTACATCAGCCCTTCTCCGATCTTGTTAGAGGTCTAAATGAAGTTGAAGACTCTGAGTCGGATACTGAGATTACATCATTGCCTACTACTATGGTCACCCCAACCTTATCTCAAGCCTCACCAGAACGAGGTGACAATAATGAGGAGCCAGCTGATCATATTATGCCTCGTCGATCCTCCAGAGTTAGAAAGCCACCTGGATGGCAACTGAATGGAAATTGGGTAATGGAATGAATTCAAGGCCATAATAATGCCTATGTAGGGTGTGAGCCTAGCGCCACCCATGAATTTAAATTTAGGTTGTTAGCTTGGGCCTTAATAATGCCTTAACTTCGGGGTGAGAGCCTAGCGCCACCCAAAATTGTGTTTATGTTGATTATGTTATAACAATCCTGTAAATGTATATTCTCGTGTAGTTCATATTACTATACTCGAATTACAGTAACAGAATTAAAGTTTATGACATTCAATTGTGACATTTAATATCTTACATGGATTGTTAGGGGGAGAAACGGAAGGGGTATCACGCCATCACACGACCGTCTGAGTTGTTCTTTCGTTCTGTTCGTTTTGTTTATCTTTACTTTTCCGTACACGTCCTTGTTATCCGCCATTAAACTACGTCCGCACAATACATCATTGGTTTGTCTCAATTGCCGCATACCATAGCACATACTACCAGTATGACGCGAGTGATAGTTGATCTGCATAACAAAAGGCAGTCTTTTTGACGAGAACCTTCCCGTTCCATTGTTGTTGTGTGAGTGATATCGCGTGTAATGAGGTTTCTCGGTTGGTACCACGTGACAAGTCTATTCTCTGTGTGGCAGTAAACTAAACGCATACAAGCGCATGGCATTATTGTACATAAAAATAGCCTATTGATCATAACCTAAATTTCTATTATATGATAAAGTATTTTTGTCTCCAATTTTTAAAATCGTACTTATGCTGGTTCCTTATAATTATGCGCTTTATGCCCGAGTCGTATACTCTGGTATACGATATTTTGAGTTTGTAGTAAAAACTATTGAATAAAACGAGCTGATTCGGACTTAGATCCGGGTTTTTGCATCCTTATGTCAGATGTCTCGCGCAGGCGCAACTTGAATTAGTACTTGTGTAGCACAAATGTGCTGGTACATGTAGTAGAAACACTCGCTTAAACTTGGAGCTAGTATATAACCACGTGTTACTCAGCTTCTGTGTTTTAGTACGTTATGCTTACAGAAAAAGGGGTTATTCAGGTCAAATCAGAGGGCCTTTTAATATTTGCAATTATAGCGGATTAGAACGTGACGAAGTATGTAATTGTATTAAAATGTTTTTCATTAATGGTAGTCACTGACATCATATTTGTTTATAGATCTAACTTAGTGTACAATGTCGGGATGATGTAGCATTCAAAAAACCACTATATTATATATAATAGGTCATATTATATTGGGAATTTTACTTATATTACTGGCTGGTATCTACCATCGGATTTTGTCTGACATGCGCAAACAGTGTACTATGCAAATTACAATCGCAACCCCCATGACTAACGCGTCCGTAACGTAGAAGTGCCGGTCGGTGCCTTTATACTATCGAGATGGCGACAAGTCAAATGAGGGAACTGTTGCAATGGGTAGAGAGCATTGCCGGTAAGTTCGTGACATGTATTCTTATTGGCTGTTATTTTACACTAAACAGCGACATGTATAGTAGCTAGCAAGTGTATGGTCAGTGCATTATCTTAAGTTGCACTATCTGTCCCGGTATACTTTGTCCTATCGTGGTTCGTGCGCTGTGATGCCCTATAAGACCATGGTACGTGAATAGGTGCGATATGCGTGGAATCATAGACCCTAAACATCTGTTAGGGTCTATGGTGGAATCAATCATTGGCTTGACATAGTAAAGATGCGAATTGGCATGGGATCGTATGAATATAGTCGTGGTGATAATACCATCACATTTTACGCTGTAGAATCTGGTGTGTGACTATTTTTAGATCGACTTTTACGTACTATCACGTATCATTCATTCACGGCAAGGTATTAGCCGCGTTTTGCTCCTTGTTGTCTTCTTATGCAGCGCAACTTGTGTGAATAGTTTTGTTGCAAAGTTTCACCGATGTATTTTCAACCGGCGTTCATATTTATATGCAACGTTGTGCGTGCATTCTTAGCTGGATTCTTTCTCTGCGGTTTACCGATCACACGTTGTATCCGTGTCACTGAACAGGATAACAACGAACTGGTACGCCCTTATCCCAGATTGCATTGTATCGACTGCTTAAACAATGGGATGTAGATACCAAACTATGACCTACTACGATTATAACAATATAGCGCTTGACACACGACATTTACGAGTATCATAAACATAGTGGTGCCATGTCCAATGGATGTTATCAGTTTAGGCAACCCATATTTTATTTAGTCGTGCCGATAACGCGTTATAATGTGGTTCTGAAGGTCAAACGATGTTCTCTCTAAGTTTAAACATTTACAGCGATTTCTATAAAAACGTTTTATATAAACATTATATAGTTTTCCAATTTTCCAATCAAAATTCAAAAATTGGTAGTTGGTGTCATATTTAATAAACCAGCTTGGAATCCATGCATGCCATTTCTTGTAAAAAAAACATTGTTTATAATATGGAGATTACATTCGTCATTAAAAACTCAAATCAATACAGCACACACAAAAAACAAGAGCAACTCGACATATAGATACAGATGGCGCTATGCTAATCAACTGCAAATTTAAACTAATTTGTCATTATAAAATGCCTGGGGCAAGCTTTCCCTTATCTCTTTTAATATTATCACACAATATTTACTACAAATGGCATCTTGTAAGAATTGACATCGCTTGATTAAGATATTCTATAAAGAAGAGCAATCGCCCGAAACGTCGGGAAATACTGGATTACCTACTACTATGTTCTATTTATCGGAAGAAGAAGAAAAATCATCAATGTCTTTCTTGTCTACTTTTCACGTCTTACGTCTCCGGTACTGCAATTGCTATGTTCACCGGGAGTATATTATTAATTTTAGATCCATGTACGAACGAATGGCCGATGGTGAAGTCGCCACTCATGCCTCTATTGGCTACAATCGCTTATTTGCACCTAATACGCATAGGACAAGTGTTCATGGACAACAAAAAACCGCTGAATTTAAAAGGTTTCATGCTAATATACAACGCGTTTCTAGTTGGTCTTTCAACGTTTATGTTTATGAAGGTCAGTGCTCTTGTTGATACGATATGATATTATAGTATGTGGTTGCAAGAATTCTCAATGTGTTTGAATGCGGTATGTTTTGTTATCAATTTTATGTGAAACCTAGGGAGCCTGGTGCTCGCTTTCCAAAGTTGGAGTAAACGGGATACGTCGCTGTTTTGACCCCGATTTTTACGGTCCAGCCAAAAAAATGTTACCACTATTTTCGGACCTTTTACAAAATTTATACCATTTTTTAAGCGAAAAACTCCAATTGTCGAGTCAAAAGGCGTCTCCAACCTCGATCTTTTTGGGCAAGCTCGTCAAAATAATTTAGGGAAAACAATATAGCATAATGTTTCGCTAATTAGGAGATGCTGAATTGTTCGGGTTACTGATATCGAGTTATGAAAACACCGAGTTACGAAAACACCGAGTTACAAAAATGACCACGTCCATATTTCAGAAACCATGCTCGAATTGTAATTCGAGCTTTTAATAGCAGTTAACAGAACTTCGAGTTACAATTTGGGCGTGGTTTCGCAAAAGTGGGCGTGGTTTCTAAAACATGGGCGTCATCATTTTCGTAACTCGGTGTTCGTAACTTAATGTCCGTAACTCGGGCAATTCACCATTTCGCTGTTCAGAGACCTCATGTTCGAATTGAACATCTAAACATGTATATCTACAAGCATTGCAAGAAATAATTGAGGACGGTTTCTTGTGTGGGCATGTCCTCTCTTCACTGGACCTGCCCGTCGCCACACCACCCAAGCCTCTTTGCGTCACCTGATGGTTTGCGAGTGTAGCGTAACGTTTAAGCGCGGTGGTCTTCGCGCTGCGCATGTGCGACATTTGTGTTGATAAACATTGATTTTCCTACAATCCAATGCGCTCTTCAAATTGAAATCACAAGTATGAGGTTTGACCTGGGCGCGACTTGTTTACCGCTGATACTCCTTCGATACCTTCCAATCACCTAAAAATGATCTAATTAAAGCTTGGAGACGTCGCAGTTTGTACTCGATAGTCTGCGCAACAGTGAAAGTCGCCATCTTTATTTATATGAGACCCATATATCTCGCGCATGCGTGACGCGACGACTACCGCACTTTAATTCTGTTAAAATGGTTAAAGCGCGGTAGTCGTCGCGCTGCGCATGAGTCACAGGTGTGTTGATAAACATTGATTTTCCCACAATCCAATGCGCTCTTCAAATGGAAATCACAAGTATGAGGTTTGACCTGGGCGCGACTTGCACTGATTACCGCCGGTGACTCCTTCGATACTTTCCAATAACATGAAAATTACTTAATTAAAGCTTGGAAACATCTCAGTTCGTACTCGTTGATCTGAACAACAGTCAAAGTCGTCATCTTTGTTTATATGAGACCCATATATCTCGCACATGCGTGGCGCGACGACTACCGCACTTTAATTCTGTTAAAATGGTTTTCTCTACCGTTCAAATCGTCGATATGTTTTTGATCTACAGTCGTTCATCAATAAAGATTATGTTTTCGAGAAATTTTACTATATTCTAGATGACGAACGATTACACAACCAAATACAGTGGTTGATTTGAACGACATTGCCTCATCCATATATGAGGGGAGGCAAGGGGGGTAGCTGGTACGGTTTTACGGGAAATAAAAAGAGCGTTTTACAATTTACAAAGAAAAAAAGACGTTTTTACAGTTTACAGTGTTAAAAAAAGGAACATTGAATGGTCCGAAGAGCTCTCCGG